CCGCTCAGACAAAGCTCGTCCTAACCATCTTTCACCAACCTTTTAGCAAACCTCTTGCAAGTGAAATTGTGGTGACGTATTTTACATTCACTGTCAATATATCTTCAACGATGTCTGCTCAAAGTGTATGAGGCAATCTATCCTGTTGTTGACATGTAGCCATGCCGATGTAAAACATGTATTCCGTGTTCTGGTAGATCTCCGTCCGTGTAGCTTGATGCGAGATCCTGCGCAGCGACATAGCAGCTTAGTTTACATAGGAGGGTTCTCACAAGGACTAATACATCACAAGGAGACATACATACAAGATATTTACAAAGTCAACTTCTCAGAAGTATCTGTGGAAATGCAACACTTGCCCTATTTTGATAACTGATCCTGAATTCAAGTCTAACTGTACAGCTAAACATACTGCATAAAACGTTTAGAAGACCTGTCATGTCGAACTGCAAACGTCATCTAGAGATCACAAGAGATAGGGGTTAACAGAAATGTTTCCAAATGTATCTAGTTCTGAAAATCCCTCCAACCTCCAACTGCAGTCGACCTTATATGATGTCCAGAGAATCATTGTATTCGACTGTTTGTGTACAGCAATACTATATGGATGGAATGACAAAATATAAGACGAATAATGACACAAAAACTTCTCCACAAGACTGTATGACAAGAGGGATAACTTCAACTTTCCAATAGTCAACGTTGCCTTTATGTTGAGCAATATTTTAGCAGCTCCAGTCTTTGGTCTCTATATTTCTCAACTTTTGAGGTACAATCGAGAAAGCTCTTACTACGAAGATTTCACAAAGCATCATTAGAACCTATGTTCTTGTGACAACATCGTAATTTTTGGGTCGGGTAGTGGTTGGTACAAATTACAAAACCCCTCTCCATATTCACATGAATATTCTGCTGATAGCAGAGATGATTCTACGATTCCGACTATATCATGACTCACTATTCACGGGTGCCCATCACAAACAGATGCAAAGGCAGGTCAATAGTTCATCCTGAAACAACACGTAAACATGTGGTGCAAGTCAATATAGTGAATTACATAGGAACCATTTGTGTCACTGATACGTCAAATTTGGAAATGTCCTCCACACAATTACTACAAAACAGGCTTTCAAGCGTTTGTACGTCATGTCGAATGTCCGGGTTGGATTTCCACATTAGTGCATGTATGGAGCCCTTTTCTGGTGTCCCCCGTCGTTATATTGCTGGAATAGTGCTAAATGGTCTTTTGTCACTGAAACAATGGCCCATTTCTGAGTTGGAGCTGGAAAATGGTCTTGGGAAAATTCCCAATAAGAACAGGACAAATTTATTTTGATATTGTTAATATCACATAAAGAAAATCTCGCCTTAGATCATATACGTTAATATATTAACAGGTCATATAATAAAACGTTCACATAAACGTGCTGCATTCTTAATTCCTTGTGTATACAATCGTAGTGTATGTATCTATAATACTGCTACTTGATCTTCCTGGATGTTCATGTCTCGTTATCTGGAATGCCCAGGTATCTCGAAGTTGCAACTGGGTCCTGCCTGTTTCGAGATTAGGGAGTTTGACTGTATGTTAATATATTATCTACCCACCCAAAACAGTAGCAAAGACCACCGCCGTCGAGATACATTAAATACATTAACAGCGATACAAAAATCTTCATAATCATATGACCCCGACTGTATCATGAGCATGTGTTTACGATTCAAGCAGATAGTGATGATACCAGGTTTTCGCGAAAAGGTGAGCTTATGCTTCCCAACCGGTGGCACCCATCACAAACACATGCAAAGGCAAGTCTAGTCCCTGCAAATGCAACATCTCAGATCGTATGACCAAAAAGGCTGACTGAGAAATGAATATTTATTATGATGTTTATATTAGCTCAAGGGAGTCACATGATTTACAAAACATAAATACACTTCTTTTGACCATGTGTTGTCTACCATCTCTATTCAACCGCAACTCTGTTCTTTTTGACAATATCCTAGGATATTGTTCTGGTAAACGTAGACAGCACACTTTCATATTTGTTATTCTTCTTTCCGTCCTGATTTTGTATTGTTACAATATTATATGTAGTTACACTTCCTTAGAAAAGTAGGGTCCCTTGTGCAGTTTCGATTTAATTCTACTTTCCCCAGATAATTTTGTTTCTTCTGTTCTCCTATGCCACACGAGTAGGTTCAAAGAAAACAAAATATTGTTCATTAAAAAGTCACGATTAACCTGGCAAATGATTCAAAAGCGCTAATGTAGGTTATTTATTTCAACTGGTAACTTTGAGTATCAATATGATTTTGTTGCTTTGAGAATTATTATTGTTTGATTCAGAATCACTTTGTATCCCTCTTTGCGGAGGTCGTTTGGAGTTCAAGTTCAAGTTCATGTTCTTTATTTCACCCAAACCACTCACAGTGGTACAGGGTACAATTCAGTAATTGTGTGTTTACCACTCAATATTTGCCAAGGGCCACATCTTGACTATATATGGCTATTTCGGTCCTTAGAAAATGTTGAGTAGTATATTTATATGAGGCAATATCATAATACAATATTGATACTGATGGTATAACAATATGACAGTTGGCAAGTGAGAGCTATTTTAACAGACCAGTGGTAGTAAAACAATCAGACGACTGAGTGTTCTACTATCATAATAAATAATCTTTTTATTATTTGTCTATAATGACATCATTTAACTGGATTGAATGATGTTACCCTGATATAATAACTTTTAATTTTCTTACATTTCATATACTGTAGAAATATTAACTTCATATTAGAGTATAACAAGTAGAAGATGTATGTATTATATAAATATTTAAATATCTTCATATAATTTTCACCTCGTTTTGCCTTTTATGTCGAGTGGTCATACTCTCGCATTGGCCTTATATATTTCTTTAACATAACATATTCAAATAACCACTTATAAGAGTTGAGCATTTAGAGATGAAGAGAACTGTTTAAAGTCCGTTCGTAAAGACCTAGAAGGGAAGAATATGCCTTTTATCTTTACATGTAAATATAATAGGGTTTTCATCAATGTTTTTATATTGATAGCTTTATGAGTTTAAGGATTGTATATCTGTATCGATTTTACATACTGTTGGCTATATTGTGAACAATGGCTTATAAGCATAGTTTCAACATTTACAAATATATGATTCTTTTGTTTAATTATTCGGTTGAATTTATCATGTCCATAAATGTCATTAATGTTCCTTAAGACACACAAGTGGACGCTTTCAAATTTTGGCGGCAAATCCTCCTCTGAAAATCCTGCGTACTGTTGTCAGTGAACACGCCATTTTGTAAAAGTCGGTCACCGGCAATGTCATAAAACATTGTTGAACTTTTTTTACTCGGCATCATTGGGGTTCATTGATCTTATATATCTAGTTTGCATTATCATCGTCGCCTTGATAATCCACAGATGGCGGAAACCTTTTAAAGTTTAGGTGTAGGGTCACAATATCCATGAGTAGTAAGCAGTACGTCGGATGACGTCATTTATGACCGTGGTGTTATGAATGAATGGGCCACTGCGATCATGAGAATAGACAAAATGCATCGATTCGATGCTAAAAAGGTGCGATTTTAGGGTGTGTAAGAAACAGATTACTGCACTCGTGCCTGTCAGATACCATTTATCTTACAACGAGTCTTTTCAAAACGTACCTAACGAGCGAATAAATGCTCAAACATGACATATTTCAAATGATTTCCCTTTCAATGAACTAGGGTCTGGACCATCTGACAAAAAATTTCGTTAGTCGCCTCTTACGACAAGTAAAAGGCGACTGTGCTTGTCGTAATGGGCGACTAACGGAATTGGGCGGTCAGACCCACTGACTTGGTTCGATTAAGGCTCGATTATGTACAGACCGCCGTCATATAGCTGTCATGTTGCTGAGTGTGGCGTTAAACAGCAAACAAAGAAAACAATTTAAGTTTACAAGTGGACACATTTGTAAATGACAGAATTTGCAAATATGTCCATGCCTTATAAATGTTGGTATCATTTTGGATATGAAAGTATGGATTAGAAAATATAAGCATGTAACTATCCAGTTCACAATGATTTATTTTCCTCGAGTTCACAACGATTTATTTTCCCACTGCTCACACCAATGAAATCAATGGTAATATTGAATAACGGCATTAACGTTACAGCCCTCAGCCTCTAGCAACGCAAAATAACATTATGCAAGGTGACAAGTAATCATAATGTAAGCAGCTAAACTCTTTCCTCCCTCTGTATCTTCCCGAGGCAAGGGAGTTAACTAACTTTAAAAGTCCAGTTTCCACCCTTGCCGAACTACGTTGGAATTTCTATGCTGGAGTTTAGCGCCACCATTGACTATTACATGTTATGTCCTCTCCATGTCCCCCCTCCCCTACTGAACAATCAAATTCCACCTCTCCTAACTCTTGCACTTGCTTCAAACAAAATGGCGATCAAGACGTTTTCATCGATATAAAAGACCTTTGTTGTAATAAAACGTTTTTTACCAATCTAGATGAATGGATCACTGAAAATAAGTGATATACAGCAGGTGTTCGCGAAAAGAGTAAGAATCTCCTGCACTACAGGTAGAACCCGCCACCTATACAATTTAATTAAAAGTCAGTGTTCGTTGCATTACGCCACAAGGCAGTCCTCCTCCAGCCATGCTTGATCAAATGAGTTTTAATTTAAATATGTAAGGGCATTTAAAAGACTTTGCAGTGTTTGATGAAAAGAATATATAAATGCAAACTGTATGTATTGTGTCATGTCCTTCCTTCAATTACTTTCGCACATTTTACTCATGATAATTCACTCATCGGGGCACTCTTCGGCAGTCCAATCAGTGGAGTGGTCACAAGACCGTGGAGTGTTGTCTCCCTTAACAAAATGGCGAAAATGGTTCTAATGGCGAAATCAAAGCAAAATTAATATGTTTTATCCACATGATATATATCGTGGATAATATGACTTCACTATACTTCAACAATGAAGTTAGATCCATGGTCGAATTTCACCTTCATTTTATCTTCCTTTGTAAGTTTGGGGGTAGCGCCCTAGTGTGCCACACAAGTACCTGTCAAAGAAAGAGTGAATGAGTGAATGTGATTGACGCTTTGAGCAGTATTGTATCAGAACAAATCATTGGAAGTGAAACATCAAGGTGAGGTGAAATGGGGCTCAACGTCGCGTCCAAGATTATTGCACTTACATTGCAACGTGCATGTATGTATGTATGTGTGTGTGTGTGTGTGTGTGTGTGTGTGTGTGTGTGTGTGTGTGTGTGTGTGTGTGTGTGTGTGTGTGTGTGTGTGTGTGTGTCTGCCTGTACTAGTCCGGACTTATATCGATTTTATAGTGCTAGCCCACTGAGATACCATGCCATTACCCCTTAATGCGGAGCATCGTGCAGGGTTACAACCATCATTTCACGTCCTTTGGTATAACGCGGCCGGGGCCTTACGCTCTCCGGGCGGACGCTCTTCAACTAGACCACGGAGGCTGTCCCGAAAAGTGAGTAAAAACATGGCAATGCATACCTTTGTACAGTTATCAGCCAGAGGCTCAAGATCATTCAAGGTTATATTGGTCTTCGAGATGATATAGGATTCCTGAGATCCTGGTCGTGTGTAATGGGAAAATTGAAGATCAGGATGTTCAAAGAAAAGACGAAGGTTCATAGCAAAACCTGCCATGTCTGTAGCGAACTTTCGACTTGGATCATAGCTCACCCGCCAACCAGTCACCTGTAGTGAGAGAAAATGCTTTAGAGTCGCATCAACGATGTGGTCCTAGACAGTGGAACATCATTAGTCCGGAACAGTGCAGACACGAGATTTTCAGACACCTTTGAAAAGAACGTTTTTGCAAAGTACATTACTCCGTAACGATGATTCGCTAATAAAAGGTAGTTCAAATACCAGGAATGGCAATGGTATTTTAAAAGAAACAGGAGCAATAAAATGGTGTTACTATTTTTATTGTAAAACATATTTTTTTCCATATGTTTACTGGAACAAATTATTTTTTTTACAAAATTTTCTTTATCCCAAACCAAAAGAATAAAAAATAGGCTTTCCTACCAGGATACCCCAAATTCCATGATGCCCCATATACCAGGAATGGCCATGTTATTTGTACTGTACAGTAACACGAACAACTGTAACAGGAACACAATTAATGTTATTCTACCTTCCCATTCTTCACAACAGGCGCTTCATATCTCAGGTCTCCAACAAGTCCAACGGGCCATACAGAAATCTTCCGAGTCCGTCGCATCTACGGGAAACACACTAGTGTACATAATTTGTGAAACAGAAAATGGTAAGTAATGTAAATTAAAGTTTCATTCATGAGATGAAGTAGATAGCGAGGGAGTTTTAACAGTTTTTCACTCATATCACGGCGTATTTGCTTGATGTTGGAGGAACGTCCTAAGTGATAGAGGTCTTAAACGTAGACCATTTTGGTGAAACCCGCGAGCACGTGTATGGCAGATAAGGGAGGCAATCCAAAGGGCTTCAACAATAGTCATATACACTTTATGTAAAAACTAAAATCGTTCTTATTCTTAATCTTAAATAAAACAACTACAGAGCACACTGAAACAGGAATTCGCCAATTATAACCATAGGTGTCCCCACTTTCCTGGTATTTGTCACGTAAGATTTTACCTCGGCAAAAATTCGCAAGTCGTACGTGTTATCATCATCAGCAAAATATACAACACCAGGCTGAGTTTCCAGGTCCACGTTTTTCCGCAGCCAAGATATCCCGAGGTTTCTTTGTTCCACTCCTTTTGCTGATTTTCTCACGAGACCACCAATATTTAACTGGGAGTCTGAAGGTGTCAAAACACACAAATGTGTGTATGACACACCACAGTTTCTTCACAAGTTGGCGACTAACCGAGATTTCTTCCTGGAATCTTCCACCACAATCCAGTGAAAACTGGACATGTGAAGAAACGTCTGAGATAGCCTTGTAAGTTCGGCCTTCTGTTGACTGCGTGCGTGTGTTGGTGTAATGGCATATATCACTGGAAGATCCTTCGAACTATTTCTCCGAGTTTCAAGATTCAGAGAAAGGTTTAGTATTCTCGCCGCTGCAAGTTTATATCTGTTTGAAATTTCTTTTATTTCATTGTCCTTAACTCTCAATTGTTCTCTGTAACTTCTGTAAGAGGCCAGAAGAGTTTCTTGCTTCTGTTTCAACAATACTTCCACTGTATGTAATCGAGTTCTTGAATTTACTTTTGAAAACCACATCTCTATAAAGGAAAAGGATGACATGTCATGTGATAAACAATAAAATCCAGAGACAGTGCTCTACATCACTGAGAATATGTTATCACTTCGTCTGTGAAAGGTAAATCAACTGAATTAATATATAAGATGCCAATATTTAATATATATACTATATGCAACGCAATGCCAAAATGACATTGAACTATGAAATACAGTATGAGGTTTTTTTGTTTCGCCCGATAACTTGTCTACCGATCGACGCAGCTCAACGTTATATGTTAAATAAACGTCTGGCTGTTTTGCTCTTGTGTGAAGGAAATACAAACTTTAAACCCACCATAAGCCACAAGTCGTGAAAAATAGCAACGGATGACACTCGTTAATTTCGCTATCCTGCTTGGCATCACACAGAGATCTAGACATTAGTCTGTCTAGTCTACCTTTAAATATATATTGACTGACAAGGTATATACTCGAGTGGGGATTTCTGTAATCAACATTGAATAACGATTGTGGTTCGCACACTCTTGCAAGGAGTGAAGGAATAGTCAAGCTTTATTTCTGACGAACAGATATAGTTTAACTTGTATGGTTGACAGTAATGAAGACAATGGTGCCATGCATATATAAATGTAAACCGTCAACGCCAGAGGATAATCAGTCTTGAAACAGATTCCATTAGGCGTATATATAGATATAAATAGTGGGGAAAATTGTATGAATGGATCGCTGAAAATCACCGATGACATCATAATACACATTGGATGTGAAACATTCGTAATACTAGCTTCAGTTTCTATACTTTTGCTCAGAAGCTTCAAATAAGACGTTATAACATTATCATGATACTCAGTATGAAATTGTTTTGAAATACAACCAAAAGTCATGTTGTAAATCTGCCATGTATTATTAAAAAGTATGACACTTACCGAAACATATGATAAAACAAACAGAAACCAGTACAGGGGGAACCAGGAGGGAAAAACAACGGTTTCCTCTCTTCGGGGGCATGTTGAACAGTTGTTGATGACAAATCCTATTTGGCTATGCTAAAGTAAAGTGAAGCTGAGGCAGGCCACGGAAGGCGCAGTTTACACGCTCACATCTGTGCGAGGGTTTCGTAAATTGATATTCTTATTAGAACGGTATTGATGTTTATTTCACCTGTTTGTTCATAAATTAAAAAAAATACCTGAGTTTTTTTTTTAAAGAATTGATATTAACATTCTGATGGACATACCTAGGGACCCTTCCGAAAAAAACAACTATTTCTTCATCATTATTTTCGCGTTCTATATGATCATTCAAACATCATATTTAGCGCTTGTGCGCAATGGTGGTCGACCTTTAACGACATGGATAGACCTTACATGTATACTCAGGAACAAAAGTTCCTGTGACACGCCTTTCCATTCGGTTGCATATATGAAAAACCTTTCAGGTGTTCAAATTGGATTCGAAAATATGAAAACGTTTAACACAAACGCAACCTCAGCAGTAAAGGATGATCTGATGGCAAAAAGTCTTGCATGCAGCAATAATGCAATCGATTATGTAAAAATGGGTATAAAAGCGTACATTTTGTAGGGATTCGGTATGCCATATGTATCTCAAGGATTTTGTTAACTGGTCACAGAAGGCTAGCGACCGCTCAGACAAAGCTCGTCCTAACCATCTTTCACCAACCTTTTAGCATACCTCTTGCAAGTGAAATTGTGGTGACGTATTTTACATTCACTGTCAATATATCTTCAACGATGTCTGCTCAAAGTGTATGAGGCAATCTATCCTGTTAACATGTGGCCATACCGATGTAATAAACGTAGTCCGTGTTCTGGTAGATATCCGTCCGTGTAGCTTGATGCGAGATCCTGCGTAGCGACATAGCAGCTTCGTTTACATAGAAGGGTTCTCACAAGGACTAATACATCACAAAGAGACATACATACAAGATATTTACAAAGTCAACTTCTCAGAAGTATCTGTGGATTTGCAACACTTGTCCTATTTTGATAACTGATCCTGAATTCAAGTCTAACTGTACAACAAAACATACTGCATAAAACGTTTAGAAGACCTGTCGTGTCGAACTGAAAACGTCATCTGTGGCATTTAGTGTACCCTTTCTGGGTTATGTTGGCGTTTATCACAAGAGATCGGGGTCAACAGAAATGTTTCCAATTGTAACTACCAATATTTCGGTTCCAAAAATCCCTCCAACCTTAACTGCAGTCGACTTTATAGGATGGACAGAGAATCATTGTATTTGACTGTTTGTGTACAGCAATACTATATGGATGTAATGACAAAATATAAGACGAATAATGACATAAAGAACTTCTCGACAAGACTTTATGGCAAGAGGGATAACTGCAACTTTCCAATAGTCAACGTTGCCTTTGTGTTGAGCAATATTCTAGCAGCTCCTGTCTTTCGTCTCTATATTTCTCAACTTTGGAGGTAAAATCGAGAAAGCTCTTTCTACGAAGATTTCACAAAGCATCATTAGAACCCATGGCCATGTTCTTGTGACAACACCGTAATTTATATGGTCGGGTAGCCTAGTGGTTGATACAAATGACAAAACCCTCTTCATATTCACATGAATTCTCTGTTGATAGCAGAGATGATTCTACGATTCCGACTATATCATGACTCATTATTTACGAGTGCCCATCTCAAACACATGCACAGGCAAGGCAATAGATCACTCTAAAGCAACACGAAAACATGTGGTGCAAGTCAGTAATAGAGAATTACATAGGAACCATGTTTGTCACTGATGCATCAAATTTGGAAATATCCTCGACATATCTACTACAAAACAGGCTTTCAAGCGTTCCCTTTTGTATGGATCCCTTTTCTGGTGTCCCCTGTCGTTATATTGCTGGAAAAGTGCGAAATGGTCTTTTGTCACTGAAACAATGGCCCATAGGATCTGGCAAATGGTCTTGGGAAAATTCAGAAATGGTGTCCCAAAAAGAAAAGGAAAAATTTACTTTGATAACAAATGATTGTTAATATTGCATAAAAAATCTCGCCTTAGATCATATACGTTAATATATTAACAGATCATATACAAAACCATCGCATAAACGTGCCGCATTTTTAATTCCTTGTGTATGCAATCGTAGTGTATGTATCTATAATACTGCTACTTGATCTTCCTGGATGTTCATGTCTCGTTATCTTTTTGTTCGCGAAAAGGTGAGCGTATCCTGCCCCACCGGTGGCACCCGTCACAAAAACATGCAAAGGCAAGGCAAGCCCCTGCAAATGCAACATCTCAGATCGTATGAACAAAAAGGCTGACTGAAGAGAAATGAATATTTATTATGATGGTTATATTAACTGAGAACACTCACGAGAGTCACGTGATTTACAAAACATAAATACACTTCTTTTGACCATGTGTTATCTGCCATCACTATTCAACCGCAACTCTGTTCCTTTTGACAGTATCCTAGGATATTGTTCTGGTAAACGTAGGCAGCACACTTTCATGTTTGTCATTCTTCTTACCGTCTTGATTTTGTATTGTAACAATATTATATGTAGTCACACTTCCATAGAAAAGTAGGGTCCCTTATGCAGTTCCGATTTAATTCTACTTTCCCCAAGTAATTGTATTTGTCCTGTTCTCGTATGCCACACGAGTACCTTCAAAGAAAACGAAATGCTGTTGATTAAAAAGTCATAATTAACCTAGCAAATGATTCATAAACGTTATTCACAAATAGGGAAATCAATGAATCCTTTGAAGCACGAGCGAAAGGGAACATGCTGACAAATGTATTTAATAAATTCAGAAAGCATGTTTTGCTTCCAAATAATATTTTAGTGAGTGAGTGAATATGATTTTACGCCGCTTTTAGCAATTATTCCAGCAATATCACGGCGGGGGACACCAGAAATGGGCTTCACACATTGTACCCATGTCGGGAATCGAACCCGGGTCTTCGGCGTGACGAGCGAACGCTTCAACCACTAGGCTACCCGACGGCCCCCAAATAATATTCTAAACCCTAACTGGAAACGGAAACGTCATATAACATCCATGTGTTAGACTAAACAAGGAAAACAAATTGCAGTATACTGCATACATGACAGATAGATTTACCATAATCAAACTGTACCGCGTTACCAGTATACATGATAAGTGGTATGTCGTTTCAGCTTGAATTAACACCCACCTTTGTGCAATTATCTGCTAACGGTTCAAGGCCGTCCAATGTTGTGTTGAGTGCTAACAGGATACTGGATTCTTGATACCCGCTTTTGACGTTATAGTTAAAGAACTGTGCCTTAGGATATTGGAAGAATAGTTTAAGGTTGATTGCAAAACCTGCCATGTCAATAGCAAATGGCCTTTCCGGAGCCCATCCTGTGAACCAACCAGTCACCTGGAAAAGATATTTGGATAATATTCAAGTTTTTAATCATTCGACCTGCCTAAACCCGCGTTAAATTCAATCCTTAGCGAGCCCTACCTATTTTCTCTGTCATATAAGTCTCTTTATAGTAAAATGACCTTCGAAAATGACTGAGAATAAAGTACTTTGTTTAGTAAAATAATCTTCAGCGGCGCGGTGATGATGTTTCAAGCTGAGGTGGTTTTAAGGTGATTTGATACTTCTGATTCACCAATCAGAATCGTGTAATTTCCAAATTCATGATAGAATTGTGATACATATGATTTTGCCAGATGAATCCATAGAAATACTAATGTCAAATTAGAATTGAAAAAAACCCTCGGATGACCTTTCCATTTTTTACGACGGGTGCAGCATATTTCAGACCTCCTGTAAACCCCACTGGCCACACAGAAACCCCTTTTGTCATCCGCATCTGAAATAAAGCATCCAATAGTTATTCAGAGAAGCATCGTACAACAACAGAAAATGTAGTATGCTGTATATTGGGTACATGTTTGTAGGTCCAACATTCACGTTGACTTATCATTCATGAAGGTGGCTTGTCCATGCATTGTTCACTATAAATGAAAATGAAATTAGGCGGTGCGATATTTTTATCAACTGGAGATGCATAATTATAATAATGAGGGGACATTTGCGAAATAATAAGCACAGTCCTCCGAGGTGACAGAATCTTTCGATCTAATGATTTCGTGACTTTTGTTACAACAGTATGCTATCCACGAATGGAATCGCATTGCCTCTCTTTGCTCGTTTGGCGACAAGCATGGATTGCTGGCATGTTCTCTGCCTCATCATTCACTAGTTATATAAGAGCTTTGCTTGTCAACTTAACTTGCTATCTAAATTGTGATCCCAAAGAGCGGTTGTTCACACATGCTTTTGTATGTCTTTGTGACGAGTGCCTCAGGAGAGGCAGGATACGCTCACCTTTTCGCGAACACCTGGTATCATCACTTTTTGATTCATAAACACATGCTTATGATATCGTCGGAATGGAACATTGGAATCTGCTTTTGGCAGAGATTTCGTATGATTATGGAAATGTTTTTGTCGATTTTTATGTGTTTTTAAAACAATATTCCACATTGATATATACTTTCATATTAAACAAATCTTAAATATCGGATATACTTTCATATCACAAAATTGCTAAACTCTTGTATACTTTGTATTACAAAAATGTTTGATTTAATACATGTCCACACCCGTGAAGATCCGTGTTAGACCATGCTTGTCGTAAGAGGCGACTAACTGGATCGGGTTGTCAAGCTCACTGACTAGGTTTAAGTGTGTCATCGTATCCTAGTTGCGTAGATCGATGCTCGTGATGTCAATCGCTGGATTGTCTGGGCCATATTATTATTTAAAGACCGCCGTTCTCTGGAATGTTGCTGATAGCGTCATTAAACAAACAAATAAATAATATCCGTATAACTCACCTCAGCAAATATCCTTAAATCATATGTGTTATCATCATCAGCAAAATATACAACTCCAGGATGTTTGTCTGGATCTAAATAACGCCGTATCCATGACAACCCTGCATTCCTCTGGGATACACCTCTTGGTTTTGAACTATGAGATTCTGTTGGTTTCAATTTCCTATCTGCTGGTGTTAAAGCATGCAAGTGTGTATATGAGAGCCCGCTTGACCGTAAAAGGTTCACCACCAGATTAGTTTTGTTCATATCATCTTCTACAAGTATCCAGTGAAAATTGGGCAGATGAAGCAACGTCTGTGACAACCTTGTAAGTTCGGCCTTTTGCTCAATTCGAGCATATGTTGGTGTTATGGCATATATCACTGGCATAGATGGATCGAATACCCGAAGACCTGTTCTTTCACCATCAAGATGCATAGTCATATCACTGTTTCTGAGCAAGACGTGCTCTTTGTTTCTTTTACGTAGGTGGCACCATCCTGGAAAAAAGTTTAATAGAGCTTCACATATGTTTGAAACGGACGAAAACTTCATGGCCTTTGTCAGTTTCGGCATAATTCGTATCCACTTAAACTGGAAATCCAAATCTGTTAATCCAAAAATGGGTGTTTAATGGATTTTTGTATGTGATACCGTTATATGACATTTATTAGCTTGAATTAAATAAAACCCTGAACTGTGATCTTGCATTATATTCTTAAGCAATACGCCGTGGTTGTATTTTATAAGGAAGCATAAACATATATTTCCTTCGTGAGGGACATGGGGGTATTTGTGGCCAGCCATGTGAGTAACGTGTACTTGGATAAGAGAAAACACACTTACCAACTGTAAAGGTAATCTATATATTTCCTTCGTGAGGTATCCGGCAATGGACCCCTCAACGGAAAGCACGCCTCCTGGAATCCAGCACCGGATACCTCACCGGATACCCCAATCTGGGTGTCCAAGGAACCCTGAACTGTGATCTTGCATTATATTCTTAAGCAATCAGTTGAGCTACTGTACGCCGTGGTTGTATTTTTTAAGGAAGCATAAACATATATTTCCGTCGTGACGGACACGGGGGTATTTGTGGCCAGCCATGTGAGTAACGTGTACTTGGATAAGAGAAAACACACTTACCAACTGTAAAGGTAATCTATATATTTCCTTCGTGAGGTATCCGGCAATGGACCCCTCAACGGAAAGCACGCCTCCTGGAATCCAGCACCGGATACCTCACCGGATACCTCAATCTGGGTGTCCAAGGAACCCTGAACTGTGATCTTGCATTATATTCTTAAGCAATCAGTTGAGCTACTGTACGCCGTGGTTGTATTTTTTAAGGAAGCATAAACATATATTTCCTTCGTGACGGACACGGGGGTATTTGTGGCCAGCCATGTGAGTAGCGGTTACTTGGATAAGAGAAAACACACTTGCCAACTGTAAAGGTAATCTATATATTTTCTTCGTGAGGTATCCGGCAATGGACCCCTCAACGGAAAGCACGCCTCCTGGAATCCAGCACCGGATACCTCACCGGATACCTCAATCTGGGTGTCCAAGGAACCCTGAACTGTGATCTTGCATTATATTCTTAAGCAATCAATTGAGCTACTGTACGCCGTGGTTGTATTTTTTAAGGAAGCATAAACATATATTTCCTTCGTGACGGACACGGGGGTATTTGTGGCCAGCCATGTGAGTAACGTGTACTTGGATAAGAGAAAACACACTTACCAATTGTAAAGGTAATCCACACAATTCCAAACAAAAGGATCCCTGATAAGATAAGCTTACGAATTCCAAGAAACATCATGAACAGTTTTATCCACTGGTTAATATCAGTTGATGTGATGCACAAATTACATCTGTTACCACCAGCATAGGGAAATCGATGGACAATATTAATGATAAAATGTACTATACTTGAAATGCTGACAGATGGCATGGATGTCCCTGTAAAGTGCTTGAGTGCCATGGGTGGTCTAGTAATGTAATTGGGTACCATGGGTGGTCCAGTGATATGCTTGAAAGCTATAGGTGACCTAGTAAAATGCTTGAGTGCCGTGGGTGGCCTGGATAAGCGCTTGGGTGGCAGGGGTGGTCCAGGTATTTGCGAAATGGGTGGTCCAGTGATATGCTTGGGTGTGACATGAGTGGTCCAGTGATAAGCTTTGTAGCCATGATGGCCCAGTGATGTGCACCATGGGTGGTCCAGTAATATGCTTGGGTGGCATGGGTGGTCCAGTGAAAGGCTTGGGCTGCATGGTGGGCCAGGGAGGTATTTGGGTGCCATGGATGGCCTAGAGAAGTTCTTGGGTAGCATGGTGGTCCAGTTATGTCTAATATGGGTGTTCCGGTGATATGCTTGGGTGCCATCGGTGACCTACACACAGTAAAAATATGCAGTTTTCGGTATCCGGATCCGTTCCGGATACCTCCGGACACTTACCCAAAACGCATCCTGGTATCTGGTGGCAGATAGCTTGACGGATACCAGATCCGTGGTATCTGGCAATGGACCCCTCAACGGAAAGCATGCCTCCTGGAATCCAGCACCGGATACCTCACCGGATACCTCAATCTGGGTGTCCAAGGAACCGGCACCGGATACCCTACCAGATACCTCATTCTGAGTTTCCAAACAAATTTTACAATTTGGGGGGTGCATTTTGTTCAATTAAGTGTGAAAAACCTAAAAATATATTTGAAACTAACCAAGAAAATTGAACATTGCTGAAAGTATCCGGAAGGTAGCCGGCAGGTAGCCGGGTGCAATTTTTCGAGATGCCTTTTTCTAGTCCTGGAATGATGATATCCTTACATTTCATCTTCATATTCCCAGTTTGTTCTAGCCTAGTGGTTGAAGCGTTCGATTCACCACATTGGTACAATGTGTGAAGCCCATTGCTTGGTGTCACCCATCATGATATTGTTGGAATATTGCTCAAAGTGACATAACACCATACTCACTCTGACAAAAAAAAATGAAAGTCACTGGCTATGTGCTCAGTTGGGCCTTTGTTCCTGGTGAGATTAAAAGATTATTTTGGAACGGTATCAGTACATCTATACAGACGAGTTTCATTGAAGTTTGAAACAGCATATAATTGCCCCAAATAGGTGCATAAGACTAATGGCATCCATAGAAAACACCTAATAAAGTACTGGTACATAAAAATATCAATGTAATTTTTCTACTGACATGGAACTAAAAACTTTTTTCAATGAGCTGTATTAATTGTAGGAAAATATTCAGGGCATTAGTATATTTGATATATGTTCAGCACCTATGTTATGGCTGATCAATAATATATTTTTTATGCTAATGAAGCAAAACAAAGAATTTGTTTTGATAAAAAAAAACATTTTTATTGATTTTATGACATTTCATTGGTTCAGTAAGCAGAGGTGTTTGCAAGAACTTTCAAAAACAGAAACAGACGCTTCAATGCCATTTTCTAAATAAACAAATTAGTCATATCTCAGAAGAATTTCAAGGTAGACGAATATCTAAAGTCAATTATGCTTGTGCAGTAAACCACAAAAGTCATTCAGATTTGTAGTCAGCATCAGTGTACACCACATAAACATAGTCACACTACTGTGGTATTAATTACTTCAGACTTGATTAGTGTCATAATAAAACAACCCACCGAATCAAACTGATGTGGCATTATTCATTCAGAATCATCACTTTCTGAGGTGAACCTGTTGGCTGTTCTGGGGATGATTATTCATCATCCGATGAGTCATTTGTATGACTTGTCTGAGCTGGTGTCACTGTGATATCCAGGTACCGGAAACAATTCATAACATCGTTGAAAGCTTGTTATTAAAAAAAATAAGAAACACACATACATCGACAAAGAGTAAAAAGATGTTTTCTCGATCGGTAAGGTAATCACAATTTATCAAGCAACCGATATTTAACCATGTTAACCAATCTTAGAACATGTAAAAAAGCCATAGCAAACCGTAAATTTTACAGAAAATACAAAATTGTATCTGATCTAAAAACAATTCCTGTAGTGCCACAAGGCTCACCTGAAATTTTCTTGAATGTTTGCATTACATCAAAAAGGAAGGGTGAAACAAGGCAATGCAAAATTGCATAAAATAGGTTCTACATAAAAACAGAACTACTCGAAATTATCAAAACGTGATCTCAAAATACTATACAATGAGTGAGCAAGTTAGTATAGTTTCACACGGCTTTTAGCAATATCTCTTCGGGGACACCATAAATGGGCTTTTCACACAGTACCAATGTGGGGAATAGAACCTGGGGCTTCAGAGAACGCTTTACCCACTAGGCTACCCTATTATCCCCAAAACAAAAGAAAGTAACATAAGGATTTCATACAACAGATATTTTCGGCAAATATCAAGTAGCTATACAAATGATTAAATTACTGATTAGAGGAGCAAATACATTTCAATGTAGCAGCTGTACCAGGCTTAATTTGAATCGTTCCTTGCTTTAGTTGCAATGGGAGCCACATTGGAAATAATTATCTCACTTATTATTGATATTTATTATTTACCATTAATTGGCATGCAAAGAACCAGCTGAACCATCAACTAAAAACTATGTATATTACATTTAAGGGACCTGTCATGTACTGGTATGTTCTTATACATTTTTACACGACTCTCCCTGAAAAGGAAAAATGCAAAGGACTTTATATTTTATTATCCATTTTTCATAAACCTCCCCTAGAGACTGTCATATTTTTGGGTGACCCTCACTATTCGTTTTGACCTTAATTCGGCTACTGGCAATATTCATGAGTAAAATCATTATCATATTTTTATCATTTATCCTATCGTTTTTGAAAATTAATTTAATGAAGATTAGCAATAACAGGAAAAAATGCCAAATTTATTGGTCTGGCAAAATTAAAGTAGTTCTATTCGGTTTTGGAACTTTGTAAATATATGTGTATATTTCCTATGCGAATACTCATTTGATTGTTATAAAGCTAAACAGTATAGGATCTATCGTCTGTTTCTAAATACAGTGGAACCCAACTTTGACACAATTGAATCATACCTCAAGTTCTCTATGCATTGTTTATGCATCTGCACAGAGTAGTTAAAGTCCTTGTCACACACATAGTTTGCTACAAGGGAGAATCCAATAAATACAGTTGAGACATCATGTTGTATCCAGACAAATTGTCTGATAATCTCGAGGGCGGCCTTGGTAGCATTAAGGGATGTAGCTAATCCTAAATAAGCATCAAACAAGTGACAGCATCTATTCTACAGAACATATGATCAAAGCCTGCCCCACTTTTGATGTTTATCATCTCGCTAAGCTCATTAGCAAGATGAACTCAATGTCAACTCATTGTGGATCAGGGATTAACAGGACAATTAGTGTCGGGTGGGTATCATCAGTAGTTTTATGAGTAGTGACGGCTTAGTTAGTTTCCAACCACACTGACTGCTATGCTACTTATCAATCTAGTTTACTATGTAACATGTTTCTGGGGACCAAGGAAATGTATCTTGTCAGATAATAGTTTTTGTCCACTTGTCTACTTTTCAGATATAAAATAATGACAGTTTTGATATGCAATTCTCCCAACAAAGACATTTAACATTTGATATACATAAACTGTACACAAAACCATAAGTTTAGAATAAGTGTACCTGCTGTTGAAACTATAATGATGCTAATATACAAGGCGCACATAAAAACACACATGCATATACTGGTACATAGCCAACATACATAATTTTTATACGCATATGTAGACGCTTGTACACATATACTTCTACATAACGGCATATCACACATACAAACAATCATTAGGTTGATGTAATTGTTCAAAACTACTTTACATACAAAATCAAATGAACAGATTCTGTAATAGCGTGGTTAATATCGGGAGATGTTTCAGCATTTCCATTTTCACAGAATCAAAGTCATATTCTTTCATGACTCAGATTAGCTTGTAGTGATTTTAATTCACATAAAACGTTAACTGATGAATACTAAATGGCCTATCCCGCACTTATGGCACCTTTTCTAAAAATACCATTCATTACTTATTTGTGTGTCCAAATAATATGTATTATTATACAGCATGGGTATGATGGGAACACCTCATGTGCCCTCACATATTGTTATAGGGTACAGGTGTGGTCAGCCGTGGTTAAGTGGGTAACAATTGGGGGATTACCTATAGTCTGTTGCATGTCTATATAGAGAAAATTACTATCTATCAGATTCATAAAATTTCATTTACATTTCAAAAGTACATTCACTTTACAGAAGCATATATTTCATAAAATGTCATATATTTCATATTGATAGATTACGTATTGCATAGTAAATATACACAGATATATATATACAGATATCCAATTGGTGTCAGTCTGCCAGTCAACAAGTTGTCCTTCTCTATCAGGATGTTGTCATCAATTTGGAGATATTTCCTTCTCTTTGTTGGCAGTCTTCCTTCGGCGTGAATTTGCGTCAATAATGTCACTGAACGTGATTGTTCATTCTTGATTCTGTCAATAAATTTACAGATTTTTTCAGCTTGGAGTGCCAGTTCTAAGTGATTGGTTGTCCTGGAACCCACTGTCCCAAAATGGTTCCACACGTCTCTACTGTCAGCTTCCACCCACCCGCTGTTCTGTCACATAATCCGCCAACTTAAGGAGTTTTGCATCTTCCAGATTTGAGCAGCATTTAGATAAGCCTTCGGCTTGTTTGCAAATCCAGTTCATTATGAAGTAAATATGTTTAAAACACATGTAGTAGAGTAGAGTTTTCTGATTTTGTAGTCTGATTGATTGTTGGCTAGGATCTTGATGTTGTTCC